AGGAATTAAAAAAAAGGGGAGGGGGAAGAAAAGCCTGTCAACCAGTGAAAATTAAAATCATCAGAGCTGTTTTCTTTTCATTTTTGGTAAAAACAGAAATAAAATGGGAAATAGATCCTCCAGTAGCTGAAAGCTGTAGACGAATAGTTTCTTCACTGTCCAGCAATAGAGCAGATCATAAAAATCACTCTTACACTGATGTAGACAGTATCAAACAAGGAAATCTAGCTTGGGAGGCACATAAAGAATTCACAGTCTCAAATCAGGCAAGTCTGTGTATGCTGCAGAGGTACCAGAAGGATCCTGGTTTCTGTGAAATGCAGTGTATGAGCTCTACTGCTCTTCACCATCTGCTACTAAGTGAACCAGGCAGATATAATGATGCTGCCTCCAGAGGGAACTGTTGGCTGGCCCACCAGGAGGGGAGGGGAAGGGAGCATTAGCAACAACCAGCCATGAGAGGCAAAGGGAAAAGGGTAATGAAAAACACAAGATGAATATTCCAATTAAAGAACAGGTTTCAGTCAGTTCTCAGTGCATCCTACTCTCTATTCTGTTAAGAAAGCTATTCAGAAATGTGCTTCAGTGCTGTGTTGTGCTCTTAAGCTAGTCTTCAAGAGCAATGTTTTTTAGTAATTTTAACAGGGTTCATTTGAATTGGAAATCAAGAAAGAGAGGTCTTACATTAAACTCTGCCAGACAAGCAGAGTGTATTCATCCATTTCACAAGAAAGTATGTATGATTTGCTCTAGATAATACTAAAACAATGAACAAAGCAGTTACTCTCTTGAAGACACATTGTAATAAACTAACCTGCCTCCTTCTCAAGTGTGCATGGGCACACACAGATGTTCTACATTAAATACCCAGTAGACACTTGCATAGGCATACAAATATATGTGTTTGGGCACAGAGAGTGAATAATGCACAGACATCATATTTCAAATGCTGTAAATGGCGCCTGGCATCAAATAAGACTCTATTCAAGCAAACTAACACAAATGAAAGTTCTCACCATCACTGTTCTCCTTTCTTTTCCTCCTCTGTCCTAATTCCTTCCCTCAGCTCCCTCTAGTACTTGCAGGTAAGTATTGCACTATGAGCTCTTACTCTATTCTTTCTGCAGTAGGTGTAATTGTAAGTAACTCAGTCTAAAACCCCAAACACATCAAGGAATTCAGCTGGTAGGAGAACAATTTTTTTTTAATTTTTTTTTTCTGATCACAGTTTTCCATCTCTACCTGGGTCATACATTCTGTCTGTATAACTTTATGTATTTTCAAGAGGAGAAATAATCTTCTACTTTGGAGTACTGAAGTTTCAGAAGCAGCTAGCATGGCTTTGGAGCACGTGCTACATAATAAAGACAGTACCATCTGCACACAACCAACAGGCACATGATCTTTCTTTAACCTTAGGAGAACTAGCATAGTAGAGTCTACTATACTATAGTTAACAATAACACATATTGAAAGATACAACAAAATAATACCGAGGAGGTGTTTTTTTTTTTCTTTCCCTCACAATAAATGAAGTCAGTTAGAATTAAAGCTGCCATTAATTTACCTTGCTGTGTCTGTGTAATAGCATAAAAATAGCTAACATCTCTCACTGATCTGTGTTTTGTAACAACTAGGCACCACAGAGTGAATTAAGATGAAGCAGAAGTCTCCATTTTGAATATCCTGCTTTTGTGACTTTAATGGTGCTTTAACTTCATTTTTGTGTGTGATTTATTATGTTATAAAATTCTGAAATCCATCATAGCGAACATAGAGACACCTTGGCTAAGTGCACTGGTCATCAGTGGTCTTGCTTTTCAAAGTCAGTTCTGATTTCATTTATCATTCGGAGAGCTTATGAAATAAAGAGTAATTACATAAGTGTTTTGAAGTCCAAGTGCTGCTCCTCTGGGCATAAAATCCAGTGTTCTATTTTTAAGCAACAAATATCTTCTATGGTAAACACCCTGGCATACAACACGTTCCACTTGGATATCATTTCCTGGAAGCCCAGAATTGTAAGTGTAAATTGCAACAAGGTGTCTATAATTAGGGAAATCTTAGTAAATAAACATTAATGAAATTTAAAATTTTGGGACTTTGATCCAGCTCTCTCAATGATTTTTCAATGCTGAGGAACTCAACTGTTTTAGAACAATATAGAAATAATAAAAAACAAACATTAATGGGGTGATTTCATAGGCTGAAGACAAGATTCACAGATAAATCAGAAGGAATCAGCTCATTGGTAAATTTAGTTAATTTGTTGCATTATGTACATAAAGATGTGAAATCTGTATTTTTCTCACGCAAAAATATGTGCTAGAATATCAAGCTTAAGATATTTTTGTAGGTAAAACAGTCTGGAGAGAGATAACAATTGGAGAGCAATATTAACTGAAAAAACAGTGCTCCTTCCATTCTAATACATTTAAGCTCCCAAATGAACACAAGCCTATTTCATGATGTTAACTGAAACAATCGAACTCTGATGATAGCTGCAATACTACAGGTCTGTCTTTAAACCAAATTAGAATCACAGACTACATGTCTACTCTTAGTACAGTAATAAACACCAGCAAGCAATCATTACATCCAATTAGGCTGAGTACTTTCCTTAACTGGGTCATTTACCAGTCTCTCTTGCTCTTAAAAGTAGATTAAATGTGTAAACTTACATTTAATTACCTGTAACAGAACTCTTATGGGCAACATGTTGGAGTGTCCTTAATTTTGTATTAAAATAAAATAAAAGGAAGAAGAGAGTCCTAAAATATATACAAAAACTTCTAGCTGTTTCCTCAAATAAGCTTTTGATCCGTGGGCTGGGAGTGGTAGTACAGATGCTTACAAGATGGAGACACATTCATGTTTCTTTTGTGAGCTTTAACTTGTAAAAAAAGGAACAACTGTGAAACAGAATTCAGCCCCATCTCCTCCCCACCTCCATCCTTTCTAATTTTCTTTAGATCGGGGGCCAAAAACAGATAAAAAGAAAGGAGGGGGGAAAAAAAAGAGACAGGAAGAACTTAACAGAACATAGAAACCTGAACTCAAAACCTATAAATGTCTCTGGGCAGCTATAAGGTAAGAAGTAATGAGAAAAGTATTTGGAACAAGACCATGTCATTTAGGATGACTCTGAGCTCCTTCCTCTCTCCAGAAGGTAAAACCCAGAAGCCTATAGGTTCTAAGTCTCCTCACTTTTTCCACCAAATTAATACAACTTTAAAAACTATTAGTATAACAACACTTTCCCCTGTTTTTTCTACACTAAAAAATGCTGTTGTTGCTGTACGTCACACACAGATACCACACACGATAACATAAGCCAACTAGGTACTGCAATTCTCCCACCCCATCAGCACAGCACTACCCAAAGTTAAAAGGTAACATGGGGCAGGGCACTGTGCACTGAGACCCGGGTTAGAAATCCTCAAGACTTCCAGTGATGACGTCTTTCAAACCTGGCAGTACTGATTCAACCTGTCATTTCATGGCAAAGAGAATGAGATCCTGCATTTTCAGGCTGGGACTTTCAGATAGCTGTACTGGATGAACACTCCAGGCCCCCTGGCACTTTCTGTGCGCATGTTAAGTTTGCCTTGTTTTGCATGCCAACATTTCCTCTCTCCTCCATCTAGGTCTGTGCATTGTTTGGTCTGGTGCTGTAGCTATGTAGGGCTTGTCAGAAAAGTAAGGAATTTCTTTGTGCAAATCAATGGAGTTAAATACAATAACAAGCGAGATGCAAGTCAGACCCTGCTTTGGGATCTTTCTAATTAGATATTTTAATAATACAACAAATGATGCTGTATTCTAATGAATTCATCATGTAGCCAAGAAAACTTTGTAACTAGTAATGTAGAAGAAGTTAATCCTTTATTGCTATAATAAACAATGTTACTCCAAACAAGTTATAGAGTAGTTGTCATTTATAATGCATTTATGTGTCTATGGTATGATATAATTAATACAAATATTATTTCCA